CCAAATAATTAAAGAGAGCATGATCACATAGCTTAGCCCTACTATTGCCTAGTAAAAAAGTAAAAACCAGTGAAACCTGAAACTGCTGTGAAACTAGAGAAAACCCCAAAGCTTTCCAAAGTAGCAAGGTACCCAACTCCTGCTGCAACCCATACATCACACATGGAGTCCACACACATCTCGCGTGCTGGAGATTTATTCAGATTGACAACGTGAAGAATGGCAGTGGGAGTGCTCACTCTGCAACGCCACTGGGTTACCTAATTAAGTATGCTACAAATGCTACTTTTAAGTCATTTCCAAGCACATCAAGGCCTCAGGTTGATTAATAGAAGGTGATTTGTCTACTGGCTGTGTTAATACAAATCCTAACTTGTAAAAAAAAAAAAGAAGGAAGAACAGTGAGGTAGGCTTTTGCGTGGCAATGCTCAGTCACTGTCAAGATGCTGCTAAACACAGGGCTTTGCTTTAAATCTTTCAGCTTTCTTGGCTTTCTTCTTCTGATCATTGGGGTTTTTTTTGACAGAGAGAAAAGGAGACAATTTTGTGATGTTAGAGTAAAAAGATCCTAAAGTTTACACAACCTGCACACTTCTGTTTCAATAAACTGTAACTAGAGGGCACTGTGCTCTTTCTTGTGACAGCTACATCTGCAGACACGTCTTTAATAAAACCAGATGAAATAGCGCTTGGTTGCAAAGCACAATGCAAGCATTTGAACTCGGGTATGCGCAAGTTACATGAAATAAAGGCCAAATGCTCGTAGCTTGAAAACAATGGCGAAGAGCAGCGTAAAAATAAGCACCACCGTGCCAATAACTTGCTCGACTACTCTTCTTTAACAGCTTTTTCATACGCAGTAATCACTGTACCGTACACCACGCTGTGGTTATGGTAATGCTCCACTGTAACACATTCTAGATTTTTAATTCAAAGGACTTGGTCATTAAATCTAGTGTTTACAAAAAGTACTGAGCAGAGACTCGCATCTCCCTTTTATTTCTGAGAGTACCACGCAGGCAGCAGCAGCCTTTATCTTCACCTAAATGTACCATCAAAAGGTGAGAGGGTGAATCAGTCTCGATGCCCCTTTTCTGCACAGTAACCAAGGAGGTGGCAGTAACAGCCAGCCGCTGGGTTTCATGAGGTACCCCGTTTTCCACCCAGCTGAGGCCATTTGCTTTGTTCACACAGGTAATTAAGCAGTCATTGCACAACAAAGCTTTGGTCACTTAAAATCCAGCCTGGATGTGAAGCAGGCATTTCCACAGTTATACCCAAAGAGAAAATCTGACAGATTCCCTCTCCAGCTAAAGAACATTTCACAGTGTAGCAAACCCAAACAAACTTCTGTAACCTCTTGAATGAAGAGACGGCTTATTAAATAAATGAGTTGTAATTCGAAATGCTCAGCTACAATTCCTGCTCCTTAATAACCTGAAGCCCGGTTTTTAGACCTTGTACTCCGTTGACCGCTGGTGCCCAGTCTGCCCGTATCCTGCCAGCCGTTTTAAGGAGCAATGCTGATGGTTGCCCCCAGAAGGCAGTGACACAAGCTGCAAGCAAAACCCTAGTGAACACAGTTCCCTGGCTTGACAGGGAAACACTCATTTCCCACACCCCATCACAAATCAGTCAATTCAACAAAGACACAAAGGCAAAACCGCTTCTATATTACTGCACAACAAAGCTGAAAAAAAGAGATTTTTGTCATGTCATCTGTCTCTTGGTTCTGCTTTCAAGAGATGCCGTGCAGTGTGATGAAAGGTGCCCAATTGTGTGTATCATCGCAACGCAGCACTTCAGGGCTGCATAAATTCGTGAAATGCAAAATTTCACTCACATCAACACCAACCTTGTAGACGGTAGATCTGATTCCTTTTAAGAACCTGCTGACATAGATATGCCTAATTTGTCATTCCCTTATACCCCAGAATATTGATTTTTAAGTTCTTCTCTTATGTCTTCTAAGCCAACATCCTCCTCAAGAGAGGGCCTGCTAACATCCAAAATGCTGTGACCTACGTAAGATAAACCCATGAGCTGCAGACTCTTGCTTTCATAGCACAAATCTAAACACAAAATTAACGTGTGTACTTCATTACAACTGCCAACTCTGATTCATTTTGTTCTTTGGACCCATAAAGAGAACAAGACAGAGACTGACATGTTTGTTCACATGGAAGAAAAGCAGAAGCCATGGCACTGCCTGGTTGTAGTCCTATGATAAAAAATCCTATGGGCCTGGATGTCAGGTTTTGGTCTCTGATGCAGGAAGTCAGTGGAGGTTGAACGTGCATAAGTGAAAGCAGAATTTAACCTTGGATTTTACCCTAAGACTTATCAAACCTTTTTTTTAAACTATTTAATCTGCATTAAGAGCAGTGGGGACATTAACTGCAGACAGGGATGGAGCTCCAGATGAAAAAAATTTTGCAGTCTCCAAAACATGCTTAGCTTTCAGAGTCACCTCTTCCATGTATCAATTCTAGTTTACTGTACCAAAAGACCCAACTCATTCAAGAGCTCAGTATTCACACCAAACCATCACTTTCTTTTTAACTGGTGACAGAAGCATAGTCATTTATAACCTATTATTTGGCAAAAAGTTTATCATGTATGAAATGATAACACAGTTGGCAAGTTCAACGTTAATTTAAATGCTGTTAAGCATGTATGATATAGATTAAACCCTGACAACACTGCATGATTTCACATTATTACAAAAGATGCTTGAGGTCCAGGTATCTATGGCAAGCGAAGTATGGTTTTCCCCCTGATCAGCTAACATAAGTTGCATACAATACACTCTGCACTGGAACTTGCAAACATGCTAAGTTAAAGCATGTCAGCAAAAGTAAACCAAAAAAAGATAGATACACATGCTAGTGTATCTATTCTATGTAGTGAGACCCTCATATTCAAGCCATTGATCTAAACAAAAATTAGTGATGAAAATTAAGTGCCCTCCTGATAGACCTTTAATTCTAGCACAGGAGCAATCCAGTTTCATGAAGACAGCCCAAACTTATGCTAATACAAAAATATGAAAAAACATAACACTTTTGCAAAGGTCAGAACTCATAGGTCAAATGGCTCCCCCTTGATAAAAAGTCCACACCACTTAAAAATCTATTTTGATTTAATATCTTTCTGTCTATCACTGAACTTGTACTCTTTCTGGAAATCTTCTAAGCAGTACTTTCCTTGGTTGCCTTATCAAAATTCCCCTTTTCTTGCAGGACTTCCATTTTCATTGTGAAAGATAAAAATGCTTATCACTTCAATGGAAAGATTTATAGTTAGTTTTCTAATAAGGCCATAAAGTAGCTTATTATTATTATTAAGACTTTAAAAATGAAAGTGGTGTTTTAGGTTTTTTTTACATAACTTTACACACATTTTAAACATTTTTTTCCTTTAAGCCTCAGCAACATTTAGTGTTATAAAAGCTTGAAATAATATTCATTTTTACCCTAAAAATTGTTGTTTAGAAACGTACAACAGCCCATCTGAATAGCACCTCAATCACTTTAGTTCTGCTGTACCACATCAAACCCTAGAGGGAGTTTCTTTTTCTTCCTCTTTCTTTCCTCAAGGAACAGCAGATATATGGATTTCTTTCTCCATTAACCCAGCAGCTGATTCACTGCCTGTTGTCCAACCTTCGTATGACAGCTCTCACCTTTCAGCTCCTGAGGATCTGCGGGCAATCCCGTAGCCGTGCCAGTCAGTACAACCCCATCAGCCAGGAAGAGCTCGGCAGCCAACGCGGTCTCGGCCACACCAACATCTGCCGTCAGAGCGTGAGCACTGTAAACAGCAGGAACGTACCCTGTGGTTACTGTCAGCACACACACTTGTTATCCATCTTGTTGAATGTTTAGACTGCATTTCTTCAACTTCCCCGCTGTCAGAACAACCGAAGGCAGGCTTTGTGAGGGAGGGTAAGTGTCCTGGTTTAAAATGAGAAGTAAAACTGCAATACGAACAGGAGTTAAAACCCAACCTTTTCCATCCGGAACCATAATTGATCAGTCTATTGCTCTGGCTCTCCTGTCTCTGAAGAGTGATTTCTAAGTGTGAACTCCCAAGTGTCAATTGAGACAGCTGCTTACATGTCGAGCACCTGTATTTCAGAAACGGTGAGCACACGCAGATCTGACTTCAAGTGGGAGTTGTGGATGCGCAGTCATTCGTAAATCAGATTCTGTTGCCTAGAACAGAATTAACACCCTCCACTTCATTTCACAAAGTCCAACTACCAGCAAGTATAGTTATTACCTATGATATAATCACAGGAATCATCTTACACAGCAGTTACAAACATCAATTACCTGCAACCTAGCTTTTCAACAGCAGCCTTTGATATATGGGTGATGTGCTTTGCCTAAACCTGTAGCAATAGTGGTTTTTAATTTAAATGGTTCTAAGCTTTGATAGAATTCCAGCCACTGCTGGTTCAACACCTGACTTTGTTGCTTTGGTATTTCCATTTAAGTAGAAAACAATGGCTATGGCCAACATGTTGCACGGATGAGTGGTGATGGAGCCAATCTCTTTCCTGGATCTGCCTGGATGGACAATGCTCCTCAGGGGCGAGGGGCCATGCTCTGGTCACACTCAGAGGCAGCACGTGTGTGCAGTGCATCCCACTCATGGTGAAGGATGCAAAAGGAAATACACCTTCTCCCTTTCTGCAGCTGGAGAAAGGCAGTGCCTGATACATACAGTGATGTTGAAACAGGGCTTAAGAGCACATGGAGGGTAGCCATAACACAGCAAGCAGGCTACATAATAGTTGCTCCCCATTTAAAGAACGGGAGACTAGCAGCTCTCAGTGGCAGGCATATTTTTCTACATTAAAAAAATCAACCAAGTCCTTTAACATTTACTTCTCAGTTTACGTATCTGCTTGAAACAAAAACCTCTTTTCCTTTCTTAAAAAGCAAAGTCTTTGAACAACAGGAAGTATAATCCAAATATCAATTAATCAATTGTCAAGACAAAGAAAAAAAAAAAAACATTACGCAATCAATTTTTTACAAAAAAGTCTAATGCAATTTATTTTAATATATATATAAAGAAATCATTAGAAAGAAGCCACTCTAAAAGGACCTTAAAAGCTTAATATGACCATGCTCCATTGCTTCCTTTCTATTTTGAAATTTCTTACCTGCTCATTAGGTATTTAAGACCTTCCAGACTTGGTTATTCTCATGATTACCCACATACTACACACAAACATTTTAATTAGGTTATTTAGCATGTATAATACATAACACTTGAGCAGTTCTTCTGGGGAAAAAACCCAAAGAGTGACATCTAAATAGCTGAAAGTACCATGTGACAGTTATGATAAAGTATCAGCAGAAAAGAACTTGGATTCATCTGTCATAAGTTCCTTCTGTTTGATAATCGTAGAACATAATCCGTACATAGACAGCACTGATTTAAGTAGAAGAAACCAGTATTATTGGCAGGAGGGAGGGAAAAAAGAGAATAGCTTTTTAAAATGCCAAAATATTATGATCTGGATGCTTTTATATGGCACCTCCTTGCATAACAAAAAATAACCTTGGATGCCTAGCCTCCAGAAACAAAATTTCTTTAAACATTACAGGCATATACACAAGTATATAAAAATCTCAGCTAGTACCAGATGCAAAAATTTCACATGCTGCATTTATAAATCCTGAAGGTTAAACAACTGCAAACTTCACAGATGCAGCAACCTGCAGCTTACAGATGCAAATTTATTTTTAAACATATCCCCTAACAGCACTGCAAGACCTTGCTTGAACAATACAGTTCTCCCTACATTATTAACAATCCTGGCAGTAAATAGGCATATAAACAATCAGAAAATGGAGAAAAATATAAGACCATTATTACATTCATATTTACATAAAATATTGCTTGTATTTACCTATGTTTCTTTTTAATATCAGCAAAAATCTGAATGTTCTCTGCTCCAACTTGCTTTCTGTATCGTAGCAGGTTACCTGCACAGGCATTTAGAATCCCTTCATCAGCAACATGAGAAAACACAAACCCTTCAGCCCGGATAAAATCAAGACCTGGGGAAAAAAAAAAAAAAAAGTATTATCTTAGCTAAAACTGAAGACTGAAAAACAGAAATACTAAACCTAAACAAATGGATACTGCCCTCTTACTGCCCCTCTTATCTGACCCCAACAGAAGTTGCTCCATATGCTCTAGGACTAACCAGCCTTGCTTTTCCACATATTTAAGTTTTATATTCTTTATTTTCACCCACACTCTCTCCCACTTTTCTTTCCATCGTACTATCTTCAACACCCTTCTCTCCCATACAGCACACCAGTTTTCTCCCTACCCCAGTGGTTCCCTTCTCTTTCTCAGCCCCTACCAGCTTGCTCTTGTGTGCACACCCTCCCCTGCCTCTTGCCATGATGTGCCAGTGGGCACGTGCCGACAGAAGAGCCAGTAGATCAAAACACAGCTCCTTTGTCCTAACAATGTGTCTTCTCCACAAAAATGGTCATTACATTGGCTCTCTCTCCTCTCTCCAGGTACTTTCATTGTATTAAAAAATTCCCCTGTTAAACATGCCTGAACTTGGCTGTCGTGTCAAAAAGCACCAAGGACATGGACACAGACAAAGGAATAGCATTAGGTGTTCTTTCTCTAGGAAATTAGGCAAGAAAACACAGCCTGTAACACATTATATACAACCTGCTTGACTCTCCATCTGAATGTAGCTTGTGTTTTCTACACAGCAAATCAACAAATTCCTTCTAGCGCTATGCCAAAGGTACAAAAAGATATGGTTTGGGAAGAATGAAACATTTTCCACTCTGAACTTACTCCAACCATCAACCCTACCATGCATTAGCACCACAGTTTCCACCATATTATTCAGTTTTTGCACTAGGAACGTTTTGTGGGATGGATACTTAAGAGGATGATTACGATTAGCAATGACTTCACACAGGCCATTCCTCTCCTCCCAGGGACCCCCTACACGGCCTCCAAACACTGAAGCCATGGCCACGGTGTAACAAGCCCACAGCCATGAGGCACAAGATTGAATTCTGACTCCCTTACTGTATTCCTCTCTTCCCTCCAGTCGTTCAGAGCCTTGAAGTTTATTTCACCCATCACTTCACATAGGTGTAAGAGCTCTGTACTCATCTTGTGCAGCTTTTGCTGTTCTTCCAGTTTCTTCAGAGGTCTCTTCCAGGCCCTTCTGAAGCTCTGCTGCTGCTCCAGCTTTGGAGTCAGCTGCATATTTAATTACAGCTGACAATGTACCAACGAAACTGATGCATGTGAAAGCTGCCATCAAGGATGCCATCCCACCCACCAGAGAACTGCTTAGGCAACAGAGGCCTTACCTTAACACATTTTGGATATAAACATAAACTGTCTTTAAAATGTATTTACCAAATGACAAGGTGCCTGTTTACTTTAAAATTTCAGTTTCATTCCAAAAGCCCTGAAGTTGCAGAAACAGCAGCTTATGCCCGATCGAGAAGAGCCTGTATTGCTTAGCAACACAGACTCCAGCTAACAAGAAACATCACAGAGGATGCCAAATCTAATACGAGCTGTCCTGTGCCTGGAGATTAACGCGTGAAAAGCATGGTGCATCCTCGGGAGCCAAAGACAAGAGTGTGCCACAAGTATACAGGTACTGCTAGACACTGGGTAATAAACACAGTGCAAATAGCTTGATTGAGATTTCTGCATCTAGGAACAAAAGCTATAGGTTCTATTTAAACCACCCAAATTTACAGTACAATTTTGAGTTAAATAGGAAAAATTACTTCTCCTCTAATCATAAGACTTATTGATAAATCTAGAGGGAGGTTACATTCTCCTAGCAATGTTAATATCTAACTCCGGACAGGGGCTATTCATTGAGTAATTTCATTTACTGAAGTCACTGCTTACATGTTGTTTGTTGATGCTTGGTTTGTGTTTCCTGAACTTAGTCATTTATGACTTTCTGCTAAACATTAGGACCGTACTTAGTTGAACAAGGCTGAACTCTCTACCTGGGTTTTTGGTAGCTAGTGGAATACAAATATTAACCAACTATAATAGGTGCGGGCAGCAAATCATTACCCTTCTGTTTTATGAAGCCATAATCAGATTCTGCTAATGAATTCATTTTTACGCTCATAAAATTGTGAGAATGATACTACTGCTTACTTTCACATTTGGCAAGTTCAAAAGTAATAGCTGTTGAATCGTTAATAGGCAGTCCCATTTCTGACTTATATGGGAACACAAAGACTTGTTGAAAACAAGAACAGGAAATTTCCAACGAAACCTAATAAACAGAACTTCAGGACTATATTAAGAACTAAGAATCAAGTAAACAGCTACTGCAGGGCCTGTTCAAGGAACCGGAGCTTGTCTCTTTTTCAAAACTTAGTGTGACTCCACTTGCTTTAATCCTACTTAAACAGATTTACCTAAACAGCTGTGGAGGTCTATCAATTGCAGAAAAAAGCGCCTTTTTTTTTTTTTCCATTCCCATGATAATTTATGATTAAGAAGAACAAAAGAGGCTGAAAAAGTTCTTTTGCTGGGTGATAAAAAAATCCCAAGACTAAGTTGGAGGAAATACTACTTTTACTTTCTCCATCTTAAATAGTTAAAATAGTACTTAACTACTTAAATAATACTTTTACTTTATCCATCCCTGGCTGTCTTCAAGGCCAGGCTGGATGAGGCTTGGAGCAACCTGGTCTAGTGGAAGGTGTCCCTGACCATGGCAGGGGGTTGGAACTGGATGATCTTTAAGGTCCCTTCCAACCCAAACCATTCTGGGATTCCATGATTAAATGCTGCAAATGTTCATATCACTGCATTTTAACACCACAAAACAGGAATTGGATGCCACCACTGAGATGCCCTTTCTCAGGTATGCTCCTTCCTTGAGTTATAAAGTTAAAAGAAGCTGGGATCTACTGCTTTCACAGAAATGGGATCTGCAAGGCAGCAGCTCCTGGCTGCTGCTGAGTTTTGGACTTCAGGCAACAAACATCTTTACCTTTACACAAAGGTAAAGAGGTTGCAGGTAACTTAACTGGTATCTTGTTTTATGTGCTCAGTAAAGCCTGGCTCCCAGCTCTTCTTGCCTCAGATTCAAAATGAATCTGAAAGACTGGTTTTGTGCTGAAAATGAAAACAGAGGAGTATTGACTTCGCCTGCTATGGATGCCAGAGGCATACAGTCTCCGTGTTGCGAAGACCCCTTACTGCTCAGGACATTGTCTTACAGCAGCTCCTTCCATGCTCAGGGTGAATTGCAGGCCTGGGAGAAGCGTCTCCAGCAGAGCTCAGAGCAGAGTCTGCAGCACTCACCGCCTGCTCCATGGTACCTGCGGATGCTCCCGAGACAAGCACATCCCCGCTGTAGTTCTCAGCTGCCTTCCCTCCACCACGGCATTAATATGGTGGCAGTTAGAAACAAAAAAGCAGTATACAATTCTGCTGAATTCTATCCCCCCTTAAAGAGCATCATGGCAAGTGAATTCCCGTGGGAGCTATCTCTGCTGGTGGGTGAGGGAAAGGAAGGATCTCTGACAGTAAAGCTGCCTGAGGGTGGGGAGGCACAGGACCAGGTTGCCCAAAGAAGCTGTGGATGCCCCATCCCTGGAAGTGTTCAAGGCCAGGCTGGATGAGGCTTGGAGCAACGTGGTCTAGCGGAAGCCTGCCCATGGCAGAGGTGTGGGAACTGGATGATCCTTAATGTCCCTTCCAACCTAAACCATCCTAAGATTCTATAAAAGCTGTATTTATAAAAGATACAAAGAAATCTGGGTACCTGGGATATCTTCTGATATGAAGCCTCACTTAATCAGCTACCAACTGTGTCATTATCACTGACGAAGACTCATTCAGAAATTTCAGTAACATGATCCTTAAAGGAAAAAGGGGCAGTTTCACAGTCAGGTGGAGACACAGTTGGACGACCTGATTATTCCCTTCCAACTGAACAATTCTATTCTAAATTTATGAGATGAGATAAGATAAAAACTGAGCCTTGATTCATGACACGCACAACACAGGCTCACCCAGGT